TTTTCTTATCTTAAGTTAATTTGAGTGGATAGACCTTCAGTTGTTCTCAGAACAATTGGTTTTTAATCATTTATATATTTGTTATGCTGATTTATTATCAATATTAAAATGTCCTCCTGCCCCTATATTTAACTGACCAATCTCCCCCAACACGTTGAATGTGTACTTATTTCTTTATTTTTCGGGGACCGTATCTGTGTTTCAATATTAACGAATTGAATAATATGTTCATAATACAGAAGCATAAGTTGATTTGTATGCTATTATGTAAACATAAACCTGTAACTGCGCAAACCTGTGTATTATATTTTTTTAAGTTTGACTACATGGTTTTAGAAAATGTACTTTTCTTTCTTTTAAGGAACGTTAATTTGAAAAAAAACATTTTCAAATAATTGATGGAAGCCATGAATTTTTTGGAAATTTTCACATGGCTTGTGCCGTTCAATTTGATGTTATGACGAGTGTTGGCGAGGAATAAAAATTAATTAATATAGTAGCCCTGGCCGTATCTAGTTGATAGCATATCTTTGACCTGCATGCTTTATTTCGATGCTTACAGGACAAGTACGGTAATTTGAAAAAAAATGAAGCAAAGATAAATGTGCCATGTGTTGCTGCTCTATTTTACTCCCTGTAAGACAAGGCCAGTATTTCTTTGGCTTGCATTGATTATTTGTTAAGAACCACTATAAAAATGTGTTACATCTTTATAATTCTAAAACCAAACATTTTGTTTTCGTTGGATAATATTTATTGACGAATCCACAGTTCACATCTTGTAACTAAGGAGTGAAACCGGCATGTTAACTTGCTGAAATCCCAAAATGTGCAAATAATGCAATAGCATATAAAATGAAACGTCGCTTACCACAAAAATCCAATTTATTTCAATACTACTCGAATTTGGAGCGCACATGTAACGGATTACCGTCAGTTTAAGAATTTTCATTCGTATGGCGTCATGTTTTGACTTGACGTTATTGCTCTAAGATCATTCATGGAATTTCACAGAATTTTTATTTGATTCTAATTTTATACATTTTCCAAAGTTCTAATGCATTCATTCTATGTTCATGGATTTTAATAGGAATTTACTTTTTTTAATTTGAATTTTAACACAGCAAAACGATGAATAACCAATATATATTCTGCAAAGTTGGATATTTACAGCTATGCGTAGGGAGTGTTTTGTTTAAAATATGTACTACTTTCGGGTATGTTCTTTTTTACCGGGCCTGAGATGATGGGTGTTATATAATATTTACCCTTTACATATGTTATTTCCTGACAAGTTATCTAATACATATATATCTCAATGTGCCCCGTGGTTGTCAACATGTTTGTATTTTTTTGCACCCTTCATTGGGATTGTCGGGTTAAGTTGTGCCAATAACTGTTTGATTTCTTTGCCAGGTGTATTTTATTAATATTACTTCATGGCTTTACTCTTTAATTCACAGTTGTGGCGTGATCGTCATTTTGCAAGGAATTCCGCTCAAAACGGGTTTAGGGACCGTCTTAAACTTGCAGAGAGGTCAGAGTTGTTTGCTCCGTGAGTTTGAGAAAAAGAACAGTAATAAAAGAGCTGTTTTGCTTTTTGGTTTTTTTGTGTGTGCATGTACTGATGATGTGTCATAGATGGATACAAATATCCTTTCTTTTCTATTATAGTATTGGACATAGGTTACAATGCTTGTGGATTTATGTGGGAATTAAATTGTAACAGGCATTTATATGTCCATAAGTGAGTCTTCGTTAAGTAAAGATATATCAATAAATATATCTGATGTTTGTTACATAGCGAACGAAGCACGTCATATATTTAACACTAGTATGTTAACATGAATGTGGTTATTATAGCAGCAATGCCATGCATCCTACTGATAAAAATCCTTTTTTATTTTTTTTTGTCAAATTGTCGACTTTAATCATGGAATTATCAACTTTAATCTTGGAATTTCCGACTTTAATCTTTGGATTTCTAACTTTAATCTTGGAACTATCAACATTAAACTTGGAAATTCCAACTTTAATTTTCCTACCCCCATTAGTCCGTCACTGATTTTTTCCGACTTTCATTAATCGAGTGAATCTCTGAGTTGAGATAAATGAATGTCGCCTCTGCCAAACAGTGCTCTTCTTGTTTTGCTTTACTTTACTTTTGGTTGATGATTGCTATAGTTAACATCGATGCATAACTGCCTTTTCAGCAATATAATATAATATAATAAATGCATGTACTGCATACATAATTACAAATAATTAGCACGGGGGAGGGGGGGGGGATAACTTCGAAATTTGTTAGTATGGTTGTGCCATTTTTGCCTAAAAATATGTACCCTTTTTTATATAACATTTACTAATACTTGGTACCTATATTTATATATAAATATATACAAAGAATGACTTTTACTTATATACAATAGTTTTATTTTATAATGATTAGATTTAATGACTTTATATTTATGTAAATATAAAATCCCTGATTGATTCATATACCACAATTGGCCATCAATATAAAATTTCCAATAGCATATTTATATGAGATATGTAGAACATACCCTAAATCAATATAAAGTTATGAAAGAACAATGCATATCAATATAGAATGTCATTAAAAAGTAGTGTCATATATATAAATTATTTTCTCAATTCACTCTGTTCAACCGAAAATAAACTATTTATGTACTCTAGGCTCCTTATTTTCTGACGACACCCTAACACCAACCACGAAAAATAATACGTATGTCTCAAATATTTGCAGTGAAATTATTTCTGTATTAATAAAGACAAACACCATTATAGAGATTGTCAGGTGAGGTGACCATCTTCACAATTTATTAAACACATAAAACACAAGACAAATATCCTCAAATAGTTTTCACCACAAATGGCATCAGTTCATTCAACTAATATACAATGGCATCAGTTCATTCAATTAACATCCAATCTACAAAAGAAAAGCGCATAATTAAAATATGAACTCTACATATATAAGGCATGAACTGTTATACTGAAGATTAATCTTCCTATACACAAATACACGTACACACCACTCGTTAGATGGTCTCCACCCTTGTCGATAACTTTTCTCGTGCACGCACGATTTTGAATACTAACGGAACTTCTTACTCTATTGTTATTACAATTAGCCCGCTACCTAAACTCGAAAATTCATACGCCTGTCGTACATAAATATATTTATTTTCTCAATTCACTCTGTTCAACCGAAAATAAATTATTTATGTACTCTAGGCTGCTTATTTTCTGACGACACCCTAACACCTGGCTTGTCTACTCGGGCCAGCTTGGCCCTGGCTGCCACGAAAGGGCTGTTGTGTAGAAATAGTAGGAATAAAGCTCCCGCCATTATGTGTACCTTGACTAGGTGCTCCTGCTGCTTCAGCAGGTCTTTTACGGATTTGTTATTTCTCCGTCTTTGCCGTCTTGATTTTCCTAACTGCTCTACTTTCCGCCGCTCTGATACGTTTTTCATCCTCAGAATTACTGGCAACATCATCTGAAAGATAGTTACTCTTGAACTGTGTTCCAGCTACCCTCCGACTTATCGGCTATCCGGATCAGCTTGTTACGCTTCTTAAGTATTTGAATTGACTCTTCAAGAAGCTTCGTAGCTCTAGCGTGCCTTTTACTGTCAATATACTCCACGGCTCTTTCAATACTGTCTGCTATGTCAGAATTCAACTCAAATTGTATCTGGTTACCTTTGAAACGAAACGTGGTCTCAACTTTCTTCACCTTCTTAGCCAGACTGTGAGTTTTGTCGTCAAAGTTTCTCTCGATACCCGCCAACTTGCTGTTCATGTAAGTCTTGAACAAGGAAAACAAATCTGCATTAGTAACGTCTTCGTTGGAATTTCTGTCTGGTTCAACGGACTCCTTACTTAGTACGGGTACTTCACTGTCAGACATTATAAATCTTCCTATACACATATACACGTACACACTACTCGCTAGATGGTCTCCACCCTTGTCGATAACTTTTCTCGTGCACGCACGACTTTAAATACTAACGGAACTTCTTACTCTATTGTTATTACAATTAGACGCTACCTAAACTCGGAAATTCATACGCCTGTCGTACATAAATATATATATCGCAAAATTATGACCCATATTTTAGACCTATAAACGTATACCCATTAAAAGGAAGTTACACCCCACCCCTCTTTCATGGATATTAGGCTACATGAAGCTATACAATACTTTAGATACACGTCTATTTTTCTTTAACATTTTACAAAAAAATTAGCAACGAAAATAATGATAAGTAGATAAAGTATACGGAGAAACACAACAAACTAGGGGCTAGAAGTAAAATATCAGCCATTTCCAATATTAAAGTTGATAATTCCAAGATTAAAGTTGGAATGTCCAAGGGTAATCTTGATAATTCCAAGATTAAAGTTGGAATTTCCAAGGTTAATCTTCATAATTCCAAGATTAAAGTTGGAATTTTCAAGTTTGATGTTGATAATTCCAAGATTAAAGTTGATATTTCCAAGATTAAAATTGATAATTCCTTAGATTAAAGTTGGAAAATTCCAAGATTAAAGTTGGAAAATTCCAAGATTAATGTTGATAATTCTAAGATTATATTTGATAATTCCAAGATTAGAGTTGGAAATTCCAAGAATAAAGTTGATAATTCCAAGTTTAAAAATGACAATTCTAAGATTAAAGTTGATAATTCCACGATTAAAGTTGATAATTCCAAGATTAAAGTCGACAATTTGAAAAAAAAAGATGGCCCTAATACGCTTCTGTAGATAAGTGTTTTTATCGATGCAACTTTCACATTTTTTTTTGGTTTCATCTATGATTATTCTAAAGGTTCAGATGAATCAGAAATTGATATGCTAATTTATTATTAATTATAAAATTTAGAGATCAGCCGTATCAGTGGGTTACAAGGGCCCTTTATATTTTATTTTTTAGATATTAAGGTATTTTAAAATCACATGATTTTGTTTTAGGTATTACAAGAAACAAAACACATCAACAATTCAAAATTCAACCATGGAACGACAACATTGGTGTTCATTTTGTCTTATCCCTTTTAAGAATGAATTGAGTTTAAGAGCTCATCTTGACATCCATGCAAATCAACCACCAGTTCCTTGTAGTCTGTGTCCATTAACATTTGTACATCATAGTCAATTAGGAAATCATATCAGATATAGGCATTCGGATTGTATCGTCAACAAGTTTGTTGAAATTGCCGAAAGTATTTGCAAACAGAATATAGCAGACATCACAACTGAAATAGAATCTGAATCCGAATGGACAGAGAGTTCTGAGGAAGAAGACTCTATAGCAAGTAGTGAGGAAGGAGAATTTTTGGAAGAAAACTATAAAATGGTCAATACAGACTCTGAAAGTGTAGAAGAGCCCGTTGAAAACATTTCGAATGAAATGAAATACATCTTAGCACAAAATGGGAATGATGCTTCTGACAATGAAAATCCTGTTAGCGAATTTGATTTGAAAGGAATCAATACCAAAAATATGAATGGTTTTAATGGACGTTGTGACAATGCAATTAGTTGTGATGTTTCATTTCTTGTCAAATTAGAAAGGGAAAAAGCAGGAAGACATTTTTTGAATGTCACAAGAAAGTTTCCTAATTTAGAAGACACGTTACCTCTTACATCTCAACGACACACATCACTACAGCACACGAAGTCGGCGTTCTTTAATTCAGATGACGCTTTGTATACTCAAAGAACTAGTTATAATTTTGATGATGGAGATAATGACCCTTATATAAGGTTTGTAGGAAATTTAGACATAAAGATGCACATTGATTGTAAACTTTACAAACAACTTCATTTCTGTCTGACAATATGAATGCTTCGGACGTGTACATGTACGGTATAGATCATATAAGATCAAATGAATATTGTGATGCTGCATGAAAGGATCCCTAACCCACTAGTTTATATTATAGGGATAATGAAGAAATAATTGTAAACAGTTGTAAAGAGAGATAAACAGTATTCAGTTTAAGATATACTTTTCCCATGAAGAAAATCACTTTAGATTGTTTAATGCAGACAAGTAATAAAAACAACAGCGCTATTAAGATGATAAAATTAAAGGCATTTTTGGATAATTTTGTCGATGTCAATTGTAAGACATTTTACAAGACTACTTTTCTTCAATTATAGGTAAAATATGGAAACTTTTTACTGTTTTGGCTCATGAGTAGATAGATTATTAGAATTGAAAAATTTCTTGACTGAAACAATTATGATGACTTTATGAAGTTTTGCCGTTTTTTTTAGACATACACAATTTACGATTTTTTGCATAAAACCATCTCTAATACGGTTAACACCTAAATAATAAGTAACGGGTATCATTGATAATATTTCTTTAAAAGCTAAAATTTCAAAGACTCCATTAAGATATCTTCATTTAAACATTTTCACTGAAATTGTTAAGAAAATCAAGTTGTTTTAAACTCTTTTCGAATTTTTGTTGTTGACCTGTTAAAATCTTTCATGTAAAAATATTCTAAATATTTTATGAATACAAAATGAATATATTACTGTTAATAGAAGTCATAAAAGTTGATTCTTTTAAATCCCTTCGAACAAATTAAAGTTTTGCTCATGTTAAATAAAGAATCTTGTAAATATTTTCGTTTATTTACAATGCACCCTCACCTGGTTCTTTCACATCACAACTGGTTCAATTTTTTTTTTGTTACTATTTTAGTACATTTTTGTTTTCAATAAATCACATGAAAATGGGACAAAATTGTACTGGAATCCACTCCCACTTAAACAAATGTTTAATCTGCTCCTTAAGTATTTTTTTAATTAAGCGCAAAATATCAATAACCAAGTCTAAAAAGTGAGATCCGGCTAAAGGGAATATTCAGTACACCAACACGTTCAATAAAACTTTTCTTTTCAATTTTCAGTTATCACAATTGTACAACGTTATTTCATTTTTTAACCAAAGGTCACGTGAGCTCCTCTTATCAATTGTCGTTCGTCGTCGTCGTTGTTCGTTAAATTTTACAACAATTTTCACCTCCGGAACTACTTGGCCAATTCAAACCAAACTTGGTCAAAATCATAATTGGAGTACTACTAGTATCTAGTCTATAAAATAAAGTCTAATGAGTCTGCATGCCAACCGACAAGGCTAAAAATTAAACATTAGGTTCTTATATCACCATTTCCATAATTTAGATGCAATTACCACGGAGCCAGACCTTTCTTTCAGAAGCAGTTTAAAAACATGTTTCTAAGAGGTATTGTCAAAAAAATTCTGATTCGAAAAAGAACCAAATTAAATAATCTATCACAGCATCGGCCAAATAAAAACATATTCTGTTTTACAAAATTGAAAACAAATATTTTAGTTAAGGTGTATTTTAAGAAAAAAATGCGTTAGACCATACATTTTATTTGTGCATCCACTTATGCAATGTCCAGTGGCGGATTCATGGAGGGAGGCGGAATAAAGGGCGTTTGTGTCAGTTGGGACATCAAAATGTAATGTGTTTAAATTTCGACGCTGTTACAATTTTTTACTAATTTACATTTTTTCGAGTAAATCATGATCAGATTCTAAAACCATTCTCAGATTTCAAGATTCGGACGGCAGTTTTAAATCATGAACCACAATTAATCCTTTAGTACTGAGTGGATAGTTTGGAAAATATGTTTTTTCTCCTACACCAATCAAGTCGTGAACAACTTTATTGTGCTAGCTGCTTGCATCGTCTATCATTGAAAATAGGAGTTGTCTCTTTTTGTTGAATAGTCACTATCTTTCGTGTATGAAGGTTTTTCATATCTAATTAGTCATTGCATGTGTTATGAATAATTAAATATTTACTTATTGGATTTTACAGTATTTTATCGTAGATTATTTTATTTCATGAGAAAGTGCAGAACTTTGATTTTTTTCTATAGAATTTGACATGGGATTAAACGGTTTCCATATTCTTATTATTTTAAAATACTCCAAATTAGCTTAAAGTATTATAAGAGTGTTGTGGTTTGCTGGCTCTAAATCAAAACTTTAACTTCATTGCAATTGGTCTTCGTTTTAAGATTTTCTATAATCAATAAAGACAGGGGCATAATTCGACGACGGATGCATTTCTATTTCAAATAAAAGAGTAAATCAGGTTGTACATCATAATCATAAACAATCATTTCTATTTTAAGCGGGTCAATAATATATCAACACTATTGATCGTTTATAAAAACATATATAAATGGTACATACAGTGGTCAAATTTCCAGCCGCTATCCGCTACACTATTTTTCAGCCAAGTAAGCCACCTTTCCACCTAAAAACTTATTTATACTGGAATCTTCTTGACTTCACCAACTGGAGTCGGGGTTGGGTGGGGGTCGGAGTGGCGGAGGGGGGGGGGGGGAGCGGGGGGGGGGGGGGGGCATTTACCTGGAAATTGGGTTTTCTCCGATTTTAGATTCAGTCGATTATATTAAGAACATCCCTTGAATTTCCAAGTTCAGAACTTCAGGAAAAGTTCAGTTAAATTTGTTTTGTACACTTTAATTTTGAGTAAAATACACTTTTAACACGATCTACTTCTGAAAACCTTTATTGTATGAAAGTTCGGAATATCTTTTCATTTTTTACTTTGTTGAATTACCATACCACCTATTCCGATTTAGCATTATTTCCAGTTTTGTTAAAAAATACCAGCAAAGTCGGCGGTCAAAATAAACGTCATTTGCGCAATTTCTTCATGCTTATGAATTATTCTGAACGAATTTTAATATTTTACAACAAAGAATCGCTGTGTTGAAGACCCATTTGTGGCCTTGGTCTGTTTTCTGCTCTTTGGTCGGGTTGTTGTCTCATTGACGCAATCCCCGTTTCCATTCTCAAGTTTAAAATGTTATGCATAAATAAAATCTGCTTTTCATAAGCTTTCTTTTTTTCATACTAAATTTAACTACATTAAGAAATTGTTTGTTTTTCCTAAGTCTGAAATACAAGAAAAACTATTTTTTTAGGAAACGTTTGATACCTAGCTATCCCTATATATTGTTTTGTTTATCATTTATCTTTCGTAAATAATATACATTGAACTGTTCAGAATAAATATAAATCATTGTATTTTACCAAATTATTTGTACATGCCTTCTTAGTCAACCTGTGATTGTCAGATATAATTTAGCAAAAAAAAAAGGATTGAAGATAATTCATCTCACTGTCTTCAAAACTCATATAGAAAGTACACTCATACTATTAATATATATTTGGATAACGTTATTGAAAGTTTATATTGTAGTAAATGCACTAAAATGTAGATGTACACCACAACCTGGCTTATTTTTCATCTTTTAAATAAATTAATCTAACAGATTAATAGCAGAATATTCAGCAATTTTGCATCAAAATCATTCTCACGGAAACACAAATGTAAATGATTTTTAGTTCTTAAACTGGTGCACGGTTTAAGTGTTTTTGTTTATGAAGAAATATTAAGAATATAAAGACATATGTGGTCCATATAGCCTCAACAATTGAGAAAAGTTAACACTGATCACTTCATCAGATTATTTGAATATCATGCCCTTTATAGCTTAACATGCTTATGTAAGATAGAATATGTGTTTTTATCTGAAGATCAAAGGTTCAGACAAACCTATGAAATTTTATGGAAAAATAAAAAACATTTGGCATTGGTAAATAAAAAAAGGGAATTACTTACCACACACTTGTTAATTCTATGAAGCATTGCGTAAGAAAAACTACATTTCTATAAGAGTTTCTTTTGTGTCTGAAATTTTGGATGTTTCTGCAAATCTAGATATGGTGATTATGGTTAATATGATGAACCTGCTTTCGTACTCTGATCTCAAAAAATGTAAAATTGTATCTTCATACGGACAGTAAAGGCTGCTAACGTGTACAGTATATGACAATTGGGTATCATGCTTACATAACTGGCAATATAGTAAAAATGTCTGGCCGTCAGTATTTAGTCGGTGGGAGTACTGATATAATTGGAAATTCAAACTGTGTTTAGCATAATATGAAAAGAAACATTATAGAGATATAATTCAATGAATTTGTTCTTTTTGAGCAAGACTAGGAGGTTTGTTTTATTCAATGGTGGGCTCATTTGTTAACGATTACGTAAAAATGTTAGATATGCAAATTTTGAAAAATTCCAAAAAAATACAGAAATTTCCTAGTATTTTCATGATGTTCATCATTTAGAACAGTAATACTTTACACTAATTATCAATTGTTCCTATCGAATTATCACCAAAAAAGAAATTTAATTCAGTTTCACATATTGCCACCAAAATTTACCACATTACAACTAGCGTATCTTTATAATTTCATGAGTACTAATTTGATGATTTCTACGTTGAAACACACGAATTCTATGTTCTGTTAGTATTCTTTTCTTCGTTTTATATCCTTTGTTGCGAATTGAGAGACGTATAGACAATACAATCGTTGATAATTTCGTCTCATACAAATTACTGGCACCTTTTGGATTATTTAAGCGCTACTTCAGACCACTGTTAAAAATCGGTCTAGCCAAAAAAAAAAAGTGAATCCGTAAAAAAATCACGTGAAATGCTTCTACCATCTTACCGTAATGTTCATATGAACATATGGATTTTCTGTTTGCAAATATAAAAGTTATGCCTAACAATGCTTTTTTCGCTATGTACATAACCTTAATACTACTCGGCGAGAGAGTACCGTACTCTGGAATATACATTGTGAGTGTACTTCAGTATACAGGCCA